GTATTTGTTGAATGGTTCTCACATTTTACTATGAAACTTCGTAATTTTGTATTCGGATACATTCGATTGTACCCATTTATGTTCTCGTTCACAACACCACTACTTAAACTTGGAACATATATAAATGGATGTATAAAAATTTGTTTCAAATACTGTCGAAATTGGTTTGTGAAATAAATTAATCGGTTCATGATTTCAATAAAAAAAAGAATAATCTCCACAACTTATACTGATAATTACCATATACTCACTAATCATCAGATTAGTGAGGGAATTCTCGGAGTTCTAGTGAGAAGCTGAGACCAAGGGGGTTAATCCGTGTCGCGTAGAGACAGGTATCTACCTGAGTACAATGGTCTATGGTCACGCAATCTCGTGAATTGATTGAGGTTAGACATTAACATCGTTAGATGCCGGCTCAGTGGTACAGGGGTTAAGCGTTCGCGCGCGAAACCAAAGGCCCTGTATACGAGTCCCGCGGGCATATCAGTTGATGTACACTGCTGAGGAGTCCCACAATCGAAGGAAATGGCCGTCCATTGCTTCCAGGTTTTCAGTGGTGGTCTAACACCAATCAGTCCATGATCTCAACCAAAAACGTTTTTAACTAGAAATAAGACGAATGTTTACTGAATTATTATTCTAAAACTATCAAGCTAATAAATGTATGATAAAAATTAAGTATTTGATCATATTTTAAAGTTACTGAGAGATGTAATCATCTTACAAAATTGATTTCATGTATTATTCTATTTGTAAGTGTATTTCACTAAATTTCTATCGCTTTACAATTTAACTAAATAATTCTTTGTTTAGATGCCAAACATTTGATGAAATTCTTTTCTTGTGCTATAAGTGAAACGGTAGAATGTTATCAGTGGTGTAAAGAAGAATACCTTGTCCTTGGTAATAAAATTAGACCAGGAGCGTGCCAGTGGCTCTGCTGAGCAGCAGATATAACCTTGCTAGATAACTTCGGCGGTCAGTAGAAATCAAACTATTATACGACTCTGCTGTAAACAGGAGCTCTGTTCCTCTTATCAGGGCTCTTTAAAAATCTTGCTGGCTGCTCAATGTGTATGCTTATGTATATGAATTGCAAAGATCTGAGCTTGCGTAGTCTATTTGTTAGGGTAAATTCAGAAGGTATACACGTGGGTTAGTTCAAGAAACGTAAGCTTAGAAATGTCTGCCTTATATCTAATACAATCAGCGGCCTAATCCTGTCATGTCGAACACGTAATAAAATTATGGTAGCAAATACTAGCGATAAGTGGCCATCAACCTTCCTTGAAAAATTGCTTATGCTTCTATGTATTTCATGAGATGCAGAGGCGAAGGCCTTTACATCAGCAATATACTAGTAACGCGTGAGTTGACTGTCAACTGTAGCGAATAGCTTCAAAGGAAGCGCTGACCATCCACCTTACCATGTGGATGAATATTCCTATATGTATGCTACAGGATGCCTTAGTGAAACGTGTCTGCAGCTGGTGTGCATGTAAAATATGATTCTTCACAGGGTAAGTATACCTGTGTGTATACTTAGGGATTCATGTGTGAAAACGTGTGTGTTACTTGTATGCCCGCACGCAAGGCCTGATGGTAACGATTCCCCAACAAAATCACATCCACGTGGTGGGTTTGTGAGTCTTAAGATACGAAACTATTTCTAGAGAAACCAGCTAAGGTTTGAATGACCTAATACCGACTGGAATACACTACCTTAGCTAAGATTAGATTCAGGTATGAATAAATTGTGATTATTATCTAGGTTTTTAACATAAAAAACCCGCTCAATTAATTATCTCAATAAGGTACTTTTTCTTTTAAAAAAAGTCTTACTCTGATGTTTTCTTTTCTATAATTCACCAAATTTTCTCACAGTTTAAGTTTACAAAATAATCACGGATTTGATAATTCCAAAAATAGATAATATTTAAAAGCTGGAAAACGCCTAACTGATTTATGAAAACAAACAATTGATTCAATAGTGATTACGAGAGTAAACTCATCTTCCTTTTTCTGTATTCGAAGTATATTCTTCTTGATTTGTATTAGGTACATTAATATATTTCAATTCTTAAATACACTGAAAACTATTTGATCATAAACAATGGATTATACTTATTTGAAAATGCTTGAAGTTTAAGATGTTACATAAATGAATTCACTGTGTGTTGAGTAGCAAATTATATACTTTAACACTTACATAAACTAATACTTCACTTTACGAAATATCTAAGTCATTGTAGTGAGCAAGAACACGAGTGGAGACAATGTATTTGAGACGAATTTACAGAGCATCTCAATAAAATCTGAGAATCATATAGCAAGTATGTTAAGTCGCAAAATATCAATTCATCGTCTCAAACTTCTCTGTTCCTTTTGCAAATATCAGTCAATTGTCCCGGATTTCATTTTTCATGCCTCTTCATACTAATTGCGTTCCGTTTCCGTTCTTTTTTTACCAACCTTCTGCTGAAATGCATTCTATGCCTGACCACCGTTAGATTCTACTTATATGGATATAAGTAACCCACACCACAATTTTAAATGTAAATTTTGTAAAACTGTTGAATACGTAGTAATAGCTAGTTTATTTAGAATAGAAAGTCAATACAATAATTATGTTATAAATTATTATGTAATATTCAATCCGTAAACAAATATGAGCAATATCTATTATTATTTTACAACTGAATTATTTCTGAGTTCAAACATAAGTATTTCATCTAAACTTCACAATTTGTATATATCTGAATATGGATTGAAGTTGAGAAGAAAACAATGGGGTAGAAAATATTGTTGACCACTTCTTAAATACACTGACCGAAAAGAACACAGTTAAGTGTAAATTGAATCAATAAATTAGAAAAAAACAAATTATTGAGGAGCATAGAAGAAAAACAAACTAAATTAGATAAGTTGACAACTTATTTAGTTCAAATTAAATAAAGATTGATAAGATTGATTACGGTAAATGATACGAATCTATTGAATACAATATGTCTTTTGTTTATACATCATGACATGTGAAACAGTTAGTCACTGAAGATAATGGTGGACGATCGTGCAATATCATGGATTGGTTGAAGTTAGATATCAACACCGTTGGATGAGAGCTCCATGGTATAAAGGTTAAGCGTTCGCAAGCGAGACGGAAGGTTTTTGGTTCCAGACCCACGTGCAGGATCGTGAATGCGCACTACTGAGGAGTCTCACAGTACGACGAAACGGTCGTCCAGTGCTTCCAGGTTTTGCATGGTGGTCTAGCTTTTATTAACTCATGAATTCAATTATTAAAATTACTGTAATATTCACAAAACCCCCCTCTCATTATTTTGAATATATTAAGATATAGTCTTCACAATAACACTTCATAAAGATCATTTAAACGCTAGAATATACACTGAAAAATTTCTACTCAGTTAGAAGCAACAATTACATTAGTTATGAATATAAGATAAGGTTTAATTTAAAATTCACTTCAGTTGAGGTTACTGATATAAATTAAATTAGATCAAATTTCAATTTTAAAAACATAATAACTTAAAAACTTATATTACTTCCCAACAACTTCATCAGGAAGTACACAACAAATTAACACATTATCGTGAAATCGACTGATATAGTCATATGTGAAAAATATCTCATAAATAATTACAACACCAATAGAACCCTATTTCTGATTCATTATTCATCATCAGAATAAATCAGAATAGGAGATTATAAACAATTATATTTTAGAGTGCACATTCAAAAACCTTTACCAATTTTGTTTTATTTAACACTCAAAGTGATGGCATAAAATTAATAGAGTATAACTTTTCAATTGACTGGTCACTGGGTGGTGATCAAAGACATGTATGTCATGTTCAAGTTGAAATGTGGCCACTACTCTAGGTGAGTCGACATTGAGTGCACCATGTTGAGATAAGATAGTGGTTGGAGGTAGTCGATATGCACTAAAAAGAACCTGACATACATGACATTAATCAACACTCAGTGATCAGTCAATTGTAACTACATCTCAATCCTACAGGAGTTCAGTTGCGGCATGGATAGCTCAGCGGTAATGTCTCTCATAGTGAAGCTAGGTGACACGGGATCAAATCCATTAAGATTACAGGTAAACCTTGCTGACGAGTACCAAGTAGCACGAAACCCAGGTTAAGGTTTCCTGTTAACTACCTCCAACCACCATCATAATAGAGTATGTTTTTATTCTGATTTAGATTTATTCTTAGTAATAATCAATTACATAATCATTAGTATGTTTAAGTACAAAGAGATATCATCCATACTTTTTAATAATAAAAGTACAATTATTAATCGTTATCTTGTCAAACTGAGATGACAGTATATTCTGTTGTTTTTTTTTCAAAAATGAAGCAGTTTTATTACAACCGGCAACCATACTTTAGCACTATATACAACAGTTTAGTAATAACATACTATTTTAATTTAATCAAATATTTTCGGCTAATGTAATAATTCCCATTTGTAATGTGAATATTGTATACTTACATAGGTATTTGTAAAAATAAAATGTAAACTTTAAAACACTATGAAATTACCGTATTTTTTTAAAAATCGCTTTTTTTACACAATTAAGGAGGGGGATATGATAAAATTTGTGTTAAATAAGAAAAGCCATTGAAAAAGACAAATATGAAATGAGTTATTCACGATATTTGCATTATTAGATGTATATTGAAATGTATAAAAGAATTTACATTATTTTATATTGATCTCTTCAATACAATAAATATTTCAAGCACTTATATGATAGACAGTAAAGTTATAAATTCTAATATTCAAATGAAAATAATCACAAACTGCTCAATGTCAGTAGATCATATATTATTTGTTTACTTTTCGCTTCATTGAGAAACAGATCTTTTACATCAGGTTAGTGATAAATTAGGCTTCAGCGTTGTTTCTATAGATATAAACAATATTAATAATCGGCATTTGTCTTTTTCTTTATTTTGTAGATGAATCTTCGACTACACTCATTTTATCACGTTTAGAAGTAAGTATTGTATTATTGCTAGAAAGAAAATGTTATAATCTGTTTCTTGCTTTTTAATGTTTATTATTTTATTAAAAATGCATTTTTTTAATATATTTATTGAAGATATCAATGAAACCTAGGAGACCCAATTCATTCTGTATAGGACTTATCAACTGGGGGTACTTTTATCTGAATATTAACGTCCACATTCACACATATATTCAACATATTTCACTTCAAAGTTCAAAACATTCACCAAAATCAGATGAACACAATTGTTTCCAACAGGTGTGAAGTTATTTGGAAAATTTCGCATTTCTCCCTTGTCTTCAATATCTAAGAATGGAATTAGTCAGTCACATTCACAAAATTCGTATCTTGATCAATCTACCTTCATTTTCTCATTAGGTTACACGAATTATTGTGACTATATCACATTAGAAAATGTGTTCTGTTTTGCTAACCTAATAAAAGGAACGTCATCTTATATTATTGTAGTATTAGGCATCGTACAGTGTAGCTATTGAAAGACAATATATATGTAAGGGAAACTTGTATGTCTTATTAAATCTAACTGGTTACCATGAGATTTAGAAAACAGACCGTATCCATGTGTCTATTGTTCATCATCGTCAGAACCATACCGTGAATATCACGAATGTTGGTGACTTTCATTTCCTTCGTCGGATGGTTAATTTTCAGCAGCATCAGTAAGATTGATTCAGTTTATGGTAAACTATGTATGATAAATGAATCTACTTACACTGTGATTACAAGTGTTTGGTTATTATCGATTCACAAAAATGTTCGTCTAGATTACTTGAAGAAATACGTCAGTTAGCTTGATGAAAATGGTCTTTCTATTGATCGTAAAACTAATACATTTGTATCTCCATTCGATCAAATGTTGGAGTGACAAGGTTGCTGAAAGTGAATATTTTGTTGAATTATATTGCCTTCCAAACTAAATGTGGTTACCGTATTGAGATCCATTAAGCTCAAAGTAGTAGATTTTCTTATTCAGCTAATGCTAAAACAGCAAATAACAATGATTTTGTACTGTTATTGATATTGTAAACCGATCCGAAGTGACTAATCATTGCAAACCATTGAGAAGTGACTGTTTGTTTCATCTTATTATCGGACTCGTTAACAGTAGACATCGTTAACCTACTTTTGGGAAGTTGAATCTATGTACGTGAGGCTATGACACAATTGTTTTCACGATGAAAAACGTTATCTCATAATAGATTCTAGCACCATGTCACGCCCACATGAACTATTCCAGCTTTTGGACAGAACAGTAAATCCATACTTTTCGAGTCAGTATTTACACCTATTTTCACCTTGTTAGTCATCCCATTTTAACTTTGTTTCTATATGATCGTACGTGTATATCACATTTTCTATTCACTTTATGTCTAGCTTATCTTTCCGACTGTAAATAGTAGGCTATGCTCTATTAAATGAAGTCGGCACGCTTCTGTCCTCCACTTCGTTTTTCTTTTGGCTTAATTAGAGTAAAGAATGTATGAAATAGATGTATCAAAGCTCATTCAAATCAATTTATATTTGTCATTATATTACCGCCATCGCTCAGAGTTAGTCTAGTTGTAGTATACAGAATGAACTATAAGATTCATGTTTATTGCACATTAATTTGTTCGTTGAAATAAAATTCAGATCACAAGTCCCCGGTACATCAGAAACACGTGGTTAACATCCAGGATAATTTATGGTCGGATATTCAAAATGTCGTTTATTTTATTGTTACTTATGTTGGCTTATCATGTATTAAGAAGAAAATGTCTAGTTAGGAAATGTGTTCCAGCCTAAAGTTGTTAATTTATCGAATTAATGGCACAAACTAATAACAAGCTTACAGTATCTTTCAAATACTTTTACTAAATATGTTTATTTGCATTCTAGTATTTGACTCGAAGTACATTCATAGCGATATTTTATTATATCTAAAATTATTTACCCTCATAAAAGACAAACAGAAACCGGAATACCTACATAACTATTTCTATTGTTTCTTTTCTCTGTAAAAACCTTTGTTTTATATAAGTTGTAATTTTAAACGGTTACTGAAGCCATACTAGTTAGAATATGGTGGGAACCAAAAACTGAAAATTAAGAAATTGACCATCCTCAACAGAGATCTACTACTTCAAATAAAAAGTTCCACTGTAGTGATATTCCTTTAAACTGCAAATATACCTTACTAGTTAGTAATAAATAACTATATTATGTTCATTTAACACCTTTCAAATAATAAAAAGGTATAGTGCTGTCACAAAACAATACTGACTTTGATGCCATGAACTATAATTTGTATACTTGAAATCCCAATTGACAAATATTGAATGAAAGTCAGTTACTGAAATTAATTACGTTCTTAATAATACTTAATTTTGTTCGGAATATGAAAAGCGTTTTGCAGGTCTATGGTATTTTCTCATTTGGTTATATTATAAATGTAAATTCTTTTCTTAAGAAATCACTCAGCTGAAAAGAGTTTGTCTACTGAAGAGATATTTATGGAATATGAAAATTAGGTGTAAAAATGTTATTTCAGGCTATAATTTAAACCTTAAGCAAATTATAGATAAAACGTAAAATATTTGGATTATCCGGTGAAAAGAAGAATTAGATAATTTGAAGTTTCGTGACTCAGTATAAGCCACTACTTCAGAGAATAAACAACCTGATCAAAATTAATCCAAATTTAAATATTATCAAGGTAAAACACAGCAATATTATGTGCGATCAATAAAAAAAAGATCTGAATACGTCTTAACTTGGATTAATTTTGATCAGGTTATTTATTCTCTGAAAAAGTGACTTACACTAAGTCACGAAATATAAGGAAATCTTATTTTTCTACTTATTGGGAGATTACAAATATATTATTCTTATTTATGACAATCAACCCGACGATCAATTTATTTGAAATTATCAAGTCAAACTTTGGTAATGATATCTACTTAAGCAAATTAATATCTAGTTTTTGTTGTCTAATTTGGTGATAACTTTTCTCTTTTTTTTTCATCATATTTAGTTCAATAGTGTTGTGTAATATAAGGAAGGTACATGATAGTTTTTTTCACTGTTTTTCTATGGACCTGTAAACGGATTAGAAGCTTATTTACATCTTGCTAAAGAACATAATGTATTCAATGAACTATTTTTTTCAAATGTATTATTCAGTTATGGTAATTCTAATCATTTGATATTCTCGAGGACTATGGAGATTATATTATATGAACTCAGTATCCCTATTTTAGGAATAGAAGAATCGTTGTGAAAAATAGTATATATATATATATATATATATATTCAGAAAAATCATGTTATTTTTTCTCAACATAAGGTCATCTTACAACAAATTGTTTTTATTCAAGGAATCAGTGATAAACTATGTATTTATGTTTACTGAAATTTGAATGATAAAAATCAAATGAAAGAATGATATTTAATGTATAGATTTGAAACTATAGTGTTCTATAATATTAGGAATTTGTTCACTAAATCGATGTATACATTTGTATTGGAAGTTTTTGATTGAGATCATGATGTTGATGTTAGACAACCATTGAAAACCTAGGAGCACTGGATGGCTGTCTCAAACTTTTGCGGGACTCTTCAGCAGCGCGCATCCACGGTCCCGCCTACGGGATTCGAACCCAGGGCCCTCTGTATCGCGCAAGAACGTTTAACCTACTGGACCACTGAGCCGGCATCCAGTGGTGTTAATATTTTAAAAGTGATGAATAATAAAATGAACATATATTACCCCCAAACTATTCAATTTTTGAAATATAAGTATAACTTAACAATTATTTACTTAAGTAATCGTAGAGGAATTTGACAAATATTTGTTTTATTATATTAGTTTAAATGTTACTGATATACCCAAAATATGTGTATGTAAATAACTATTCTCTTAATCTGACGTGGAAATAAATGAAAATTAGAGAAGTACTTCACATCTTAACAGGTTTTACAAATATTATAGGCAAATATGGATGATGACTAGCAGTGGAATCCAGGACTCACGTTTCGTCCTATTTGGGACTCGTTAGCAGGATGTATCTCAGAGTTGATATTCACTCCGGGACTGATCATTTGCAGTCTTAAACACCAACTGAAAGATTTGAACAAACAATATTAAAGGAATTTAACTTCATCTCATTGCAAACGTTAATGGCTATCAGAACATAATAGCTAACTAGATAATGCGATAGCATTTAAAGTGAATGGTTCTAGGTTCGAGTCTTGGAGTGACCATCAACTCTGAGATGCGAGTATATCCGGCTTAGGATTCCTGGATAGGACGATACGCGCATCCTGGTTTCAACTGCTAGGTATCATTCATCTCTACTTATAATGCTTGTGATTGATGACAGTATCGAAGTAATCTGAAATAGATGTCAAATACCAATAAGAAACTGATCAATTGCAGTCCTAAACGTTAGTGGGAAGATTCAAACAACCAATGCAAGATGAGCTTATACACATATTAATTTGATTTTGAATTAAATTCCACTGATAATAACTTTGAATTATAGTATTCTAAAATAGTTGATGTCAATTTTAGTGAACTTTTCTGAAATTGTACGTAAAGGTGATGAATACGTTCGATATCCCACAAATCTTAGTATTCACGGTACATTAGTGTTACCTGATTTTTAGTTTCACTTTCATAAATAATATAGTAATTATATAACAAATGGGTAATCATATCATTTGCATTCACTAGCAAAAGTTTCATACTAAAAATGATTACAATACTCATAAACCTTTGATCACATTATGTCTTACATAAATCAATAAAATAACATTCAGCTTGTATAAGTGCATGAAAAGAGAGCAAATAAGTTTTGAGATCGAGTTTTTGTTTCTTCAAAGTGAGTGGTTATTTAGTTTTATATGATTTTATCATAATTAATATATTTATTACTTTGAGTTAATGCATGAAATTTGTATGCACCCCTATAAGTTAATAAGAGTTC